TCACATCAGATCGGTACCAGCTGATTTGAAGCTCCTCAATGCGAAGAGGGGATTTCTGAGTGGGTTACCGTTTTGCCAACAAGAAGGGGGTCCAGACTTTCTAAAAGGACACCCCATACCACTCTGTGAGCTGATTTTAAAGGTCGTTACAGGGTTCCCTGCATTCCCCCAAACATCACCCACCACAAGGAACGCCCCTTAAGCGTCCACAATTTTGAGGACCGCCCTCCCTCTTTTTCACCAACCAAAAGAGGGTTGCCCTGTTGTTCACCTAAAAGTGTGCTTTTCATGTTGGCCCCCCTAGCCACCAAAAGGGGAATCTGAGAAACTCCCATTTAGGGTCACCCACATATGGGTGGCTCGTTTTCTGCTGCTGCCGTGTTTTGCGGTTTCAAAGGGAAACCAACAGGACACTCACTCATTCGGGGGTCTCCCTATTTTGAGACGCGTTTTCGGGGTTGGTGTAACACCAAAAAAGGAAAACTGAACTCATTTCTTTGGGGGCACCCCTCAAGAGGTGGTTGTCCTTTTGGTTTCCCTTTTCAGCGACCAAAAACGGAGTACCCGCCAGCAAGAGGACACCCACCCATTTTGTGGCGTCCAACTTGAGGCCCCTGATAAAACATGATAAAAAAAACCATCCCCGCAAAAAAAAGAAGCCACGCGAGGCGTCAGCCAAGGCCAAGGACTCTGCGATGAGCCCCGCGTCAAGGGACAACTGGTGTGTATTTCCAGTGACTTTATTGTTTTTTTAAACTAGACCCGGTTGGGGCTTACCAAGGTTGATGGCGGGTTGTGGCTAGTTGGTTGGTTGGTTTCCTCTTGGCTTCCCTTTAGAGCCACGAAGATGGCAGTGCCAACAAAAGAAAAACATATGGGCCTTTGGTGGACGTCATTTAGGTGGGGATATATACATATACAATGCATATCATACCATACACAGATAGATAGGCATATATTTATGCACATGCGGCTACAGTCAAGGAAGCCATCTAGACCATGTTTGCTGATCTGTTTGACGTGTCCTTTGCTGTGTCGCGCATGTGAGCAACCCAGTGTAAGAGTGCATGATCCACCCAAAGGTGCCTTTTGTGCGCCCATTGGGCGGCGTTGAGTGGGTGTTGTTCGCTCTCTGTGCCGAGCGCAGGATATCCCAAGGGTTGACTCAGCAGAGTGAAGGAGGGGGCCCTTTTGTCAGGGTCAAACTGAAGAATCTTTGAGTTGGATGGGATTAATGTGTTACCTGTCAAGATATGCAGGACAGTAGCCGGAAGCGCCCGAAGTAGCCCAAGATGGGGGATAGTATGTGGCTGTTCCCCAGTGGATACAATCCCAGGGTGTAATTGTGAATAAGAGCAATGCTTGCGCAAGTCGCCAGTTTGGTCTCAAAGGGAAAACCCAAAGAAAACAACCAGCGTGGGCTCCCTTTGAAACCATCGAGACATGAAACCTGAGACATGCTCCAGGCTCCTTGGGCCCAGATCTCACTTGAGGCAAGTCTTGGACACTGGGCTCTATGTTTCAAGAACTTCCAAGGCGTCCTTTTCAGGCTGGTTTGACCGAAATAGATGGGCAAGCCACTGGTTTAGGTTGGTTTTATGCCATCCATTTAGCATAAAACCCATCGATTTGTGCAAAGGTCACCTATGCTTCCAAGGATAAATCAATCAAAACTGCCCCACGCCTTTGCCCTTCGGACCGTAGCAAGATCGCACTTGGCGTTGTCCAGGCCAAGTGCTTCGACTCATCGAGAGACGTGAAGCTGAGGTTTGACAAACACGATGCGCGGCTACATTTCTGGCCCTCCCAAGTGAGAGAGAAGTGGGCGACTGAGAGCTTCGGCGAGATGGAGAGCTGGAAGTGTGTGTGTATAGTATGTATATATATATATATGTATATATATATATATATATATTATATTTATTTACAAAGTATGGGGCAGTTTATCCATACCCATTACTGACTGAACATTCAAGTGTCGGTCGCGGAACCAAGTGTAGCAAGGCGGGTAATTGGTGAAACACATCGTATTTGCCATTTCCTTATCAACCCGTGTTTGCTTGTCTTTGCGGAGGAGGGGTGCGTGTACATCTAATTACTCTGCGGCTTTCACAGGCAGGGCCCTGCTTGAGACTTGGCTCGAGGTGTTTGCGCTTCTAAGCGTGGCCAATCCCTTCTCCCAAGCCCAGCAGAAGACTGCAGGTCAGTTGTCAGACGGCCCAAGCATGTAGGGTAGGCTCTTGGTGCGGAGCCGAAGCTACTCCGTTACTTGTGAGTTATATAGGTGTTTGTACGCAATATTTAATATCAATGTTGGTATTACACGGATACGTACACATTGTTGCTGTCGCCCTTGCTTGTTGCTTGTGCTATGTCGCATACGCACACAGAACTTGACGGCAGGGAGCGTGTCCCCCTTTCGGCACATGGCATACAGATGGGTGAATCTGATGATCCATTTCGCTTGAAGGCCAACTTGAGCCACTCAGACCTCCGACAGTTCCGCTTCGTGGGAGTGGGGGTTACCTCGGACCAGAATCCACCCGATCCGATCTCCGCAGTGCTTGAGGGGCTCTGGGAATTGCGAATGAGTTCCCGAGTTCCCTTTGCCACCCGGCCAGCTCCGGCCATGTGCGCCACATGGGTTTCCTATAGCCGAGTCCAACTAAAATGATGGTTGACCCAGTTTCGAGGATGAACCTCTTGAACGGCAAACAATGGTGATGACATCGAGCCAAACATGGTTAGTTGGATCCCTGAGGTTGTTTCAACCTTCTGTGCGCCCAGGGGGCTGGGGGCATACCTGAAGTTTGATTCATGATGGACTAGGAGTTAGTGGGGGAAGACCTACCTCATCACAACAACTTGGAATATGAGATCCTTTCCCGATCATAGTAGCACGTGTCAATGCAGAGGCCAGCAAAAAAAATCCAAAGGTGCATTTCAACACATCATATGCCCAGTTGTTCAACAACACCTTGATCCTTCCAGGCACCTTCATGGGGGAGGTTAACATGTCCCTCGGTGACCCGTGGTTGGTTGCTATATATTTGTCACACCCTTTTGCTTGGCGTCCCCTTCCAAGGGCTGAGAGTGGGTAGACCATTCGTATCTTGCGCGGCGCTGGGAGCTTTCGCAAGCAAGCACAATCGCCAATGTGTTGTTTTTTTTTCACCGGCGGGTGTGGCAGAACTCGGCAGTTGATCTGAAAGTTCCAGCCAGTGTCAAGGGCTTGGACAGCACAGCCCAAGGTTCTGTCTAGTTTGGCTGGCAAAGATCATAGACAAATCACTGCTGAATGCGTACTCCAACTGCGAAAAGCCACGCCCGGCAACCACAGGATCCCTGGCAACTTCCGTCGCCGAGAGCCGAAAGCTTCAGTCATTTCCCTTCAGCCCTTCGCGTCGTTAAGGGATTGCCAGCGGCGGGATTCGTGGAATCTGGTGCTTGGCCTTCCTGAGTTTGGGGGATGAATGGTGCCACTTGGTGAAATGAACCCTTGAGTCTTGGATTTCAGATCGTGCGTTTCAAGTCCAAGATCGAAGAGAGGCAAACTACCGGCCGACGGCTCGCGGCAATGGATCCTTGGCGCGGCTGAGGTGGACATTTCTGCTTGAGGGATCCATCTCGCCTCTTTTCCGTTTGCTCCCCCTCTGAGGAGAAGCAGGGATCCGAATAGGTCACTTTTGGAAGGATTAAATCAAGTGAGCTCAAATTTTGCTTCTGAGGAGGTGTTTGTCAACAACACACTGTTGTTTGCCATTTGAAGGGTTTTTTGAACGCAACTTATGTGTCCGGTTGGGGTGGTTTGCATGGCATCAGCCTTGGACGTCTTGGCCTGACGCAGCTGAAGGCTGCTGATTCGACTCCTGCAAACTTCAGGGAGGAAGTGGGGGCATCCGACTTCGGAGGTTTCTCAGGGTTCCGAGAACTTGGTGGCTCCCAGCCATCCGGTTCCTTAGCTTCTTAGCCTTTTAGTGTTTAGTGGTAGTTTCCATTTAACCCACTAAAAGTTAAACTTTTAGCGGGGGATCTGAGGGCAGCCTAGAGAATATGTTTTCGCTTTACAAGCTCATCCAGAAAGGAACGTTGCTTGTATATCCGCGTTTATCCAACACGTGATGTTCAAATCCGCCGCTATTGAATGGGAAATCGAGTTGGAACCGTCTGCTGCGGCGGACTCGGAAGTGGGTGCTCCTCGGTAGGGCAGGGTCAATGTCGAAGACTTGGCGCAGGTCAGAGAACAACAGAGACGTATCTCACGCTGTAAAAACGCCTGGCGTCTTTGCGGAGTTTTGCCCCGTCTAGGGTCAGGATAGCCCATGATAGGTTCGGATAAAGATTGTAACATGTCTGGCATCAAAGGACAATAATGTGTATAGTATCCGAAAGGAACCCATTTGTTAGAACCCATTTACTTAGGGTCACCCAATTTGGGCATTGGAGTCTCCCCACGAGTCCTGTCCGTTGACGAGGTCTGTAATTGACGTTGTTTCTCTAAGAAGCACTTTGGACGAATTGACCGCGCACCTTAGATAGATCGGTCGAAGAAAGGCCTTCGCGTCGTGAGAAGAGGGTCCTACAGAAGAAAGCCCCCGTTGGCCACAAGGCAGATGATCGGAAACCTCAAGCTGACGCTGGCCAATATGCCACCGGTCAAGGCAAAATCTGACTTGCCCTGATTAGACCAGGGTTCCTTCATGGAGCACTTAAGTGGTTTTGCAATTGGTCATGTAAAACTGATGTTCTGCTTGTCTCCATGTTCTTTTTGTTGTTCTCGACGGACCACGACGCTGGGTTAAATGCCCCCAGAATGTTCAACTTCTGAAGGGCAGCAACAGGGGGCGGATGTTTTATGAGCTTTGTCCTGCCCCTGTCTTTGTCATAGTCGTTCTTTCCCAGGCCCTCCCCACACACAACACACACAACACACCTCTTGCGTCTTTCCAGAGGCTCGGTGCGGTTCCTTTAGTGGCGCGGAGCGACGAACCACTCCCCAGGTCTCCTGTCGGAGCCGCGCAGGCTGCGGCGGAGGCGGGGAAAGACTGGAAGGGCCACGTAGGGAAACCAAATCTTGAAAATGGGTTTTCATTTGTTGTCTTTTCTCGAGGGGACCTCCAGAGTGTGTTGTTTTCTGTTGGTCAACCCCTCCCCCCCTCCGAAACCACCCCCCAAAAAAAGACGAGTACCCTCGAAGAAGAGGAACACCCAAATTAGCTCCAGGTGCTCAATGTTTGTGAAACCGCGACTTTCGTTGGGTTACTTGATGCTGTGAGGCTTTAAAGGAGCGTGGTCTAGGGGTGTAGGCAAAAGCCCTGAGTGAAGCGAAGAAGCTTTAGAGAGCAATCCGCCCTTAGAGAGATACAGCTGGAAGAATGAGCTCAAAGCACGAACATCACGACTGGGGGTGTGGCTGGATTGATTCTAGCTTGAACCCGCTCCTGCTTCTTTGAGCCATTTTGATGAGCCTTATGTCGGCGCTCGTTATGAGAACCTATCGAAAGGCCAATCAAGAAGCTGGGCCGTTCCCGGCCGTCCGGCTCTGTGGTTTTAGGTGTTTTTGGGGCTTTGTGGAGGTTTCCCATTTGGCCCACCAGCTCAACTTTTAGCGGATCAGTTTGGAGAGCCCAGTACAGTAGCACAGTGCGCTTTGAACAGTTCGAGCACCAACGGCCTATGCCTGGGCTCTCGGCTCAATACATCACCTCAAACTGAGGTACCTCTGCTCCGTGCCGCAAGGCGTGACAAATGAAAGGCTTACAAGTTGGAAGTGGCTAACCACGGTTGCCGAAGAACAAACAGACGGTTAGCAGGTAGATTCACCTTGGGGCTTGCGGCCCTGAATCAGTGGCGTGATCAAAACTCCCTGCCTTGGACAAGGGACCATCATCACCCGTGGTTCCTTTCAACACGCGGCCCCCAAATCCGCCGTGTTTTTTTACATGTGGGAAGGCACCTGGATCCTTTTCTTGGGACCCATGGACCTGTCAGCCGTAAAAAGAAGAATCGGCGGCTGGGCGCGAGCCATGCTTCAGCAAGAAACCTGGGGTTCACATCCATCGGTTCAGTGTCCTAGTTCCATTTTCAGGGAAGCCTCCCAACATGGGACACTTCTTTGGGAGGAGGGGTGCCCCGGGTGGTCCCTACCGCCGAACAAATCGGGAGGCCATTGGGCGTATGGCGTTGACGTCCTCCCAGTGGCGCCCAGTGCTGTGCAAGTGCGCCATGCAGGCATTTGCCAAGAACGGGAAAACGGGGCGGCCTCGGCTGGCTGTAGGGATCGTGGTTTCAGTTTGCCGCAGTCCTCCTTTCACCCCCAAAACTGTGGTTTTCCTGTGGGTTTCCCCTTCAAACCAAAAGCAGTGTACCCTCAAAAAGCAGACAGACCCATGTTTGGGTTTTTGAGGCTCGGTACCCTGTTCGAGCTTGGTTTGAAGGGACATGAAAGGAAACAAACCAACATCGCCCATTTCCCCTTTAGCATCGCACCAACGGGCAACTCGTCGAAGAGTGGCAACCCAAGGGGTGATGCTCCATTGGGCTGAGAAGCCTGCGAAACCCACTTGATTCCGAAGGAAACTTATGAGTAGTGGGAATCAGTTGCTTCGGCGTCACGGGCAGCGTTGGTTTTCCGCAGCCGTTCTAGTGGTTCAATGATAAAAACCGTCCCCCTAAACCCAAAATGTTCGATCCCAATGGATGTGTTCGCCTGAGGGCCCCTTCAAGGGGTCAACACTCCTTGAACATAGCAATTCCCAGGAAGAAATTTAAACAGCAGAGATCTAAGTCATGTTGGGTTGTGTGCGGGTTTTGAATTGGTTTAAGATTGCTGGAGTATCGGTTTAGCATCAGTTTAGTATTGTTCTAGATCATGTCCCTCAAAGACTGGACTCAGGGTCGCCGGCTGTTTTAGAATTGTTTTAGTATTAGTTAGTTCTAGTTTGGTTAAACGTGTATAATGGGGTGCATTTAAAATTAGGGGGAAGCGAGTATTCGTGTATGTGTTCAAACTGGGGAAGCCCCAAAATGTAGTTTTTGGGTTTTGGTGTTGTTTGAACCAACCTGAAAATGGTATCCTCAAACAGCTCGTAACCAAGTAGCCTTCCAAAGGAGTCTGTGCACTTCCACTTTTGTTGGTCGGAAGGTGAGCCAACCCTCTGTAGGGTTCACAGAAGGAATTCCGGGTCATGTTTGTTGAGGGGAGCACTTTCTTGAACCTCATGAGCTTCTGGCGGATGAACAGGGTGCGACCCATCTTGGATGCCCACCCAATGGGCACTCTTACTCTTGGAGAGGCAAGAGCGCCGCGTTCAGCTTTGCCTCCGGCCAAACGGGGCCAAGCTTGTTGGATTCCCAAGGCCTTTCATCCGTGTGATTGGCACCTCACATGGTTTTCTTCAACATCATGGGGATCACGGGTTTACGTAGTTGAAATGCCGGTGCGAAGTGATGGACTTGTCCAGCATCTGTGGTGTGGCTTGCACCATGAGTGACGCACATGTATAAAGTCCTTCATTCAATAAACTGCAGACACTGGCTGTCTCCCAAATGCTTCAGAGCTTTCGTGTTGTCCAGTCTCACGGACTTGTTCACAACTTTCCTGTGGGATTAGAGATCACTGTGCGCTAATGCAACGGACTGCCGAAATGGGACTTGCATAAATACACGAGTGAATTGCCAGGCGAATGTGGTCGCTGGCCATGTTTACATGATTAAGATGAGCAAGTGTGAAGGTTTTCGTAGATGAATCCATCTTTAGCACCTGTGACGCGCCACGTCTTTGGGCAAAGCTGGGGCGAGAGAGCGCTTTGAGTCCCTGTCCCGAGGGTGATCTGGGAAGCTCCTTTGCAAAGACTAGGGTCTATCCCGACTGAGCATGTCCACTTCCGTTGTTCCGGGCAAGTGCAGGCTGTCGACCTCTTTCCGGAGCGATCTGTTTCCCAGTGGTTTACCAGCCAGAACCCTCAACAAGGGGCCCGGTCCCCTGCTTTTGAGCTTTTGATGAAACAAACACCTTGGTGACTCCCAGCCATCCCCTTAGCCTTTTAGCTAATTAGTGTTTAGTGGAAGTTTCCATCTAACCCACTAAAAGTTAAACTTTTAGCGGGGGATCTGAGGGCGGCCCAGAAACCACTCCCTACCAGGGAAGATCTCAATCAAAAACCTGCGAGGGATTGCATCCAAACCGCGCAGGCGCTGATCTCATGGATTCGTAGTGGTGTGGAGGACCGCAAGTTTCACAAGGCGGGGTGGTCCGAATCCATCTCATCGGGGGAAGGAGATCCTTCAGTGGATTTCGCCCAAGTCGCTTGGTGGGTTCCTTACTTTTGGCAGATTCCCCACTAGAAAGGATCACCCCCCCCCCCCAAAAAAAAAAAGGGAACAAGAACAAGAGGCAACAAAACACAAAATCACACAACAACAACGCTGTTTCCACCAGGATCACTGCAAAAAAGTAAAGAAACCGCTTGCAAAAGGCAGCTTGGCAATTACGCCGCAGCCTGGCGGGAGAGCGGATCGGTCAAAGAAGTTCCTTGCTGGATGGCCAGGGGTGCATTTCCTTTGTGGTTTCTAATATGGCCGTGGGTCAAAGCCAATGGCTCTATTTTGGGGTAGGTGCACCACCCATTTGTGTCTAGTGGGGATTGTTCACTGGGGCTACGATTTGTATTTTGACCCATGGCCATATGGCTATGAGTACCCTCCCAAATAAGCCCCCGCCTCAATGATGCTCACCAAAGGGTTCTCCAATGAATTTTGTACCCATAGCACTTGGGGAGGGGGGTTGCTCAGGTAAGTCTTAATTGGCGGGTTGGACTGGTTCGTGCAGAGGGTAAATGGGAAACCACTTTTGAACCTCTAACCAATTCGAGGGGAGCTGATTTCAAATAATTAGTGGACCTCAAGCATGCTTAGTTTGGTTGTGGTTCCCTTTCAAACCACTCCATTGGTATCCTCAAAACAAGATCAACCTTGGACTTGCCCCCACCAACAGTGGATGAGGGAAATCTAGATCAACCACTTAAATGGTCTTCCAAATTGTGGTGACTGTTAGTGTTTGGGGGCAGGGTCCAAGATAGGCCCATTTGGAGTCCCTCTTGGACTCCCCTCCGGTCGCACTCGCGCCAGTACCTCTTCTGGGCAGCCGCGGCCATGTCCGGCATGCCCTTTGTGGCCGGGGCCCCCATGCTCGTCAGCCTGCTGGGGAAGAGGGGGAGAGGGGGAGAGGGAGGGGAGCAAGAAGAAGAAGTCTTCACTGGTCTTGGTGCGTGTGTGGCTTTGCGTGTTTGCGTGCATGTGTGGTTCGTCTTTTAGTCTTTCCGTTTTTGGGTTTTGTTTATGTTTTTGGGGTGCCAAGAACAAGGGTTCTGGCTGACAGACCATGGGTTGGGAAGGGGTACCCATAGGGTTCTGACGTGGGGCAATTTGGCCGCCGTGCTCACACGCAGCCGCTGCCAGTCTCTGAGATATATATTGCTTCACATGTCCAATCTTCTTTTTTGGAAGTCCGTATTCTGCAACTGCCCGCTTGGATTGAACGAAATGAGAGGGGTGTTCTTGCACAATCAGGGGATGAGCTTGGTCCGTTTCAACGCATTCAACTTCCCACAGAAGGAATCTGCCCACCCTGCTCTTACCCAGCAATCCCGCTTGTTCTCCTTAATTATGGCGGCTTTCTTTTAAATTGTGGATCCTGTTTGGCAGTTTTGAGCATCACCCTCATCAGTTTTAGAGGATTCCCTCTTGAAACAGGTGACACTTTGATGTCTCTGAGTCTTTGGAAGCTGAACTCTGCCAACAGCATGCAGAGGCTCGGGTTTTCAATCGGATCTTGGGGGGTTACCAATAGGATTCCTAGGCCCACAGAGGTGTGACCGCCCACTCACGGGAACGCGAAACTTGACCTTTTCATGAGGCTATGTTTCGAGCTTTAGTGCTGCTAACATTGGATATACCCCCTCTCCCACTAACATAGCATCAGTGTGAGGGAACCTGGACGGAATAGTGGCGTCTGATATGTACAAGTCGGGTGAATTTTCGTAAAGGGAACCACAAGCGGTTGGTGGACATTTGATCCCTGAATTCAGATGTCCACCCGTCCGGGTCCCCAACATTTTCCCAAACATATGACCTTTCATCATGTACAAGGCGTCACCTTTTTCATCATAGTATGTATAGTGATCCGTATGTAAATATACATATACATTGACATATTTATGTACCACATCCACCGATCAACCGGGCCGATCGCAGGCTTCAGAGCTGAAGCTGCACATCAGCAACGTCTCTGCAGTGAGCCCCGCATGGCTTCGGAAGCGGCTGGTTTCGTATTCGACGGCCTGTCTTCGTGTTTTAGTTTTTCTCTTTACCCACAGGCTCCAAGTAGCTACTGAGGAGGTACTTAAACCCCTTGTTGCTCCCAACAGCCATTCTCATGAGGTACTTGGACCCTCTGGGTTATGCGCATCTTCCACATGCTTGCTTCATATGAGTTCAGATATGAGCCACATGCGCTGGATGTATAGGTCCGCTTGGTGGCATGCTAGCTCCAAATCGGGTGGCGGTATGTTCGGGAACTGCCAGGCGCACTAACAAGCAAACTAGAGTCAAAAACTGTTTGCCAGGGGCAAACCCGGAAGTGGGGACCGGCAAACTTGATTGGGTGAAGATGGACATCCACTGAGGTCCAAAGTGCACGTTTTTGAATCCCAGGGTGCGGTTTCGGTTGGGCACGTTGGATTGGGCAGTTTCGGTGCCATTGGATCGTTTGGTCCTTCCGCTCTTAGCATCAAACTTCTTGCTTCGGAGCAGCCCTCTTTGGGCGTTTCATTTCTGTAGGGACCACCCCCGAACCAAGAATTGTAGCTTTCCTGTCGGTGTCCCTGTTTTAACCACAAACCGGGCCTCAGAACAACACAGACCTGTGTCAGTTTGTCTCTGGGAAGGGCGGGGAGCTGACGTTGTTTCAGGCCGCCATCGGATCCAGGTGGACGCCGCGTTGTGTACCATCATCGACATCCTGGACGAAGATATCGACGGCGGGAGCCTCTGCTTTGAGAAGCCGAACCGACTCGGCGTATTTCCTTTCTGGAGCTCACAGATCGTGGGGAACAACTGGTCACCGTTGAGCAGGATGCGTTGTTTGATGTTTGTTTTGGTCTTGCGGGAGGCAGGAGACTGGAAGCAAACCTAGGACAACAAGGGTGAGCGTGTCGTGATTGGCCGGTAGGTGAAGACAGCTTTTGAAATGCTTGGGCATGGGCCGGCTGCGGCAGTTCAGCTTGCGCGCTGCATGGCGCATGCCTGGCCGCATTTGATTGTCAAATAAGCCAGCTCAGAAGAAGCACACCTCCGTGAACGTGGCAACACGTACCTCAGCAACCCCCAAACTGCAGAAAGTTAGCGTCGCTGGCCCAGGTGAGTACACCCTTGCGGGTGCTGATCGCGGTGAGGCATGCGTTTGGGGCATTCAACGCTTGAGCCGCCGGATGTGCGTGATGTTGGGGTAACCCAAACATGGGAGCATATATTAGGACAGACGTTTGGATCACACACCCTCACCAGATGGCATGGTTTAGAGAAAAATGCACTTGTCCTTTGACAACGCTGGAGGCGACCCATGACAAGCATGATAGGGTGATGGTCACGTGCATCCTTATACTCGAGTTTATTGAACAACTAAAGTTGAGATGAGGGAGGTTTTGGGGGCACTTTCTATACGGTACCAAGTCACCCCATGTTAGGTTTGAAAACAGACCTTTCGCCGTTGGCCAGGCGGAGATGCCCTCGCTGTTGGCCTTGGTGGTGGAGGCTATGAAGGTACATTCCTCTGCGCCAGAGGTGGGGTCCCGTCGTCCTTTCTTGAGCAACTGTGGTATCATATTTTTCACACTCCTGGCTCAACATAGGCTGGCTGCTCCCGGCCTTGACCCAAATTACCATTGCATGCACAACCTCGTTGATTGGACAATGATGGGTGGAGAGGCACAAATGTGGCCGTGGCACAGTCCGTTGCAACCCAAATCACCACACAAAATTCTACTCGCTCAAATGGGTGCGTTTTTGTTCTGGATTTGCACCTCCAAAATGGCAACGATTTCCTCTTGGTGTCCCTTTGAAACCACCAATGAAAGGGGGGGGAACCTCCAAAAACGCCACCCAAAGCAGGTTGCAGCCCCAGCCAGTGGCACTGGGCTCGGATTTGGAGGTCCAAGCACGCGGCGCGGCGTGCGTTGGGCTGCTGGTGCCCTACGTGCCCTTGGCCCGGGGACCCAACGTGTTGGGAGTTCAACGATTTTGACCACCTAGATGGGTCCGACTGGATGATTGGTCCCCCAGCTAGGTGCCCTCTCTCACCCACTTTTCCTTGGTGAGGGTTCCCCTTCTAAAATGGACCTACAGGGAAAAGTTGGTAGCCTTATTCTAACCTCTCTACTGGAGGACCTAGTGGATGATTGGTTTGTTTGGAAGATTGAATATGGGTGTGGGTCAAAAAGATGCACCCCAAATGGGACCCTGGCAATTTTTTGGTTACCTAATTTTGACCGATACCCATATGACATGGGGGCGAAAATTCCAATTGGTGCAATTCCATATGCCCCTTGAACTTCTTCTTTTTCACTCCGACTCTCCAAACTAACATCTCGCGAGTGGGATCTGGTTTGTGACCGGCATCGAGCAGGGTCAGCTCCTTCCTTGAATCTATAGGCGCATTTTGAGAGTGCACCCCAGCCTGATGTTCCCATAGAAAGAGCGTTGAGGAAGCCCTCTATAAATGCATGGCTGGAAATTCATCGGGTAAACCGTGCCCAGCCAGCTTTCCCCAAACCATGTCCGGCGGGTCCAGCCAATTCAAAGTTGCCTAAACCTGAGTTTTGCACGACATTTGTTTTTTCAACCTTTGTTCTTTTACATGCAGGCCCCTGTTCCCTGGCAATTGTGTGGTTTGTATGGGAAGAACGGGGAAGCTACAACCAGACTGATTGTTGGGATGGCTGCCGCATTCTGCAGCTGGCTCACGTTTTTTTCAAAATCCTAGTGTTGCGTGTTGCAATTCCCGTACAGCGTTGCTGGCCAACTTGTTGGAAGAACGCTGACTCCAATCATTCGCCGCGATTCTTCTGGCTTCGCATCCTCGACGAAAGTACGTAACAAGGGTAACTGTCTACTTTCACTTGGGTTCAACGCACCAAAACACATTCTCCTTGAGGCCGTGAGATGCCGTGAGAGTCTTAATGAGAGCCACATACAAATTATGGGTAGATGAAGGGTAGACGACCGTCCAGCCCACGAGACATGGCTCAAAGGACGTGGGAACCAGGCAAAGCGTGCGTCTTTCAAGGTCAAGGGCTACCAGCCATATGGCTGCCCCTTTCCGTGCTATGATCCGACCTCAAAAGCTAAACGATGGAGTCGCTACACTTAAGGGACATGGCAAATATCACTGGTATCTAGTTGGGTTGTGTAACCCATTGCCGCTTCGGTATGTTATTATTGGGGGGCTACTGGAAGCCCATTCGGGCAAAAGTCACAAATTGGATTCAAGGACGCGTTGTGCCGCTGGCACCCTTCTTTCACCAGGAAGCCAACTGAAAAAGCGTACCCCTTTTTGGGCCACGACCCTGTTGTATATTCCCACCCTGATTTTATTATCATTTTTTTCGCAAAAGGCCAAGGGCGGAGGAGAGGTGTGCTGTGAGCCACAAAACCCAACGAGTCCCAAAGCGAAAGTCGGTGGAAGTTTGGCGCAAATCGTCCCAGGCCTCCCTGCAAACGGTGGCGCCGGCTGCGATCGTCGCGGCGGAAGCCTCAGCTCTGCGGCTCGAAGGGATGGAAAGCCCGAAACGGATTCAGCAAATCGTCGGGCCGGTAAAACGAGCTCACAATTGGTCCTTTACTGCCCAGTGCAGCCCAATTATACCCCATGCAGTTACCCTTATAGTACCGAACTGTTCAGGGAAATGGAATCGCTGGAGTGGATTCAACTCTTTCAGTTTTTGGCATCGGTTTGCACGTGCTGTCCTTTTAGGTGTTGAACGGCGCACGCCGCTTTCCACGCAGGTGACGGGGCGGAAGGGCAGGGCCAGGGCTCAAATTTCTTTCGTCGCCTGGAGGTCTAAAACATCATCCTTGAGATCTCAGCCAATTTGATGTCTAAGAGTCGAAGAGCAAATCTGCTGGGAACCCGTGCTAGCCTAAAGGCCAAGTTACGAGAAGCACAAGTGTTTGCCAAGTCTTCGGTTTGCCATTAAGGGGCCAAATCCATGTTTCAGGTACCCTATTGGTGATTCGGATTGATACTTGGGTGAAGGAATGTTGACGTTGGCCTCCTGCAACAGGGCACACTTGGGTGTGTCTGTTGTTGCAAGTGCCCAGGCTTTTTGTGGCTTGAAAGAAACACCCGAAGGAGTGCAAGGCAATTTGCGTATCCGTCCCCGAAAAGAGACAAGAACTATGGCGAACATGTCACTCCTTTTGCCCTATTCGGGTCATATGTGGTTGGTGTTTACGTTGTCTACACCATTGGGCAATAGCCAAACCCATCCGAAATGAGGAGACTCTTATTTGGAGATAACTCAGGTATCGCTGCAGGACGTAATGGGCGTGTTTGCACCCAAATGCCTCCCCAACCAATCCAAAGCGCAACTCCTCGCAAAAGGAAAGTGATCGAACCTAAGGAATGAAGATGTCCTTCTTGGGGAGGTATTTCTTGTTTCGGGCTGTGTTTTGCATTGGTTTTGGGTGAGTTGAGCCCGTCACTACGAAGCCTCGTTTGGCTCCAAAGTAACATCCTCAAAATCATCCCCTTTTTGGTGGTTTCGGAACCCCCCCCCACAGCCAAACATTTGGAGAACCCCCAGCAAACGTCTTGTACCTGTGACCCAGATCAACCCGTTGAGAAGCCGCAGGACGGACGTTGTGAGCGGTGCTTCCGCCGCCCTGCGGTCTTTGTGCGAGATGTGCAGGCGCGCGCACGCGTTCTGGAAGGAAACGGACAGGGGGGGTGCACACTTGGGGGGGGGAGAGAGTTGAAGGTTTGTTGGCGTGCCAGGATTTATTGGGGGCTTGGGACAGCTTTGCCGGTTTTCCGGGAGTTAGATTTGGGGAAGCCTGGAAAAGAGGATTTTGGGGAAAAACAAAGAGGCATGCACAGAGAGTCGGTGTCAGCAAAAACCCAGTGCCTTTTTTCCACTGGACTTCAGGTTCTTCGGACCCCCCCCCCCAGTTTGGGGAAGGCTGCATTTTGACAATGGCACGACTCATCTTAAAGGGACATCCGCATGATCGCCGTCCTTTGGTTTCAAAGCGCCGAAAGATGTGAAATTCTGGTGATTGTTGAGTGACACTGGGAAGCCTCCCAAACACATCAATACAAACATCAACAAGTTTGCGCGCAACAACATTTGGAGAAGGTGGTTTGGATTGGCGGTCTCTCAGTTTGTATTCTTGGTTACCAGTTTTGTGCATTGCCGCGGACTCTTGCCCAATATGGGCTCCAACCGGAACCTCAAGCCCCAAATGTCCTGCGCAACCTCGTTGGTGTTTGGATTGACGCTTTGGAGGTTTGTGAGTGGCTTCCCAGTGTCACTCACTCCCTGCACCTTAGGTTCACAGAAGCCAGGGCCAACCAGAACCAATTTGGATGTTTGGGTCAAAATCCAAACCGCACCCGTGAACATCGCACTCCAACCACTAAAATAGGTTCTAAAATGGGTGGTGAATTCACCTACCAACCAAAATGGGATCCCAAAACGGTTTTGACAAGCACAGCCATTCAGCTGGCCGAAGCTCTAGGCGGCGAAGAGACGCGAGTCTGGAGGTGGGGATTTGGCCAATCGCAGCCGCTGAAGGGGTGTCCCTGCCCCCTGTGGCCGGAGCTGAAACGGATGTGGATGAAGTCGGCTCTCAACCAGCTGACCATCTTGGGGGTTGGTTGGGGAGGACATGAAAGCCCCACAGTTCCCACAAAGCCAACCTTCCAAGTTGTTCATGCCCTTTGGGAAACACGTAATGGTGTCCGTTGCTCAAGCTTTGATCAGCTGCTCAACGCGCGTCTTTGTTTGAGGCTCGGTACCTGTTCGGAGGAGTACTTCAAAAGGAGATGACATGCAAACCACCCATGTTGTGTTCGGGGGGGTCCATTTCAAGAGGCACCCAGATTGTTAGCGCAAACATTGATCCAGCAGTTTCGTAGCATATTCGAGGTTTGGTCAAACTTTTCAGATTTGGGTGTGGCTCAAAAAACCGGTACCAAAATGGAACCCTGGTAAGTGGAAACATGGACGAAAACCCGCGTAACCCCTCCTGTTTGAGCCACAGCCATTTGTCTATGGTGCACTCGCCAAATTTCCCACAAAAACCCTGGAGACTCATGTAGTGTCCCATGCTCTTCTGTGAAAACAAGTAATCGTATATGGTTGCCCTCAAAGGGAAGGGAGATTGCTAAACTGGCTGTTCAAGTCAGGCCGGGCTCTTTTTCAACTCAAGACCTTTCTATCCTTAGCTTTTCCATCCCCGGCCAAGGGTTTGTTTGGGCCCCCCCCGAGGCTTGGTCAATTCAAGCGATGCCCATTCGGATTGGAGATCAGAGTCCCACAAAAAATCGGTCAGGATATCAACTGTTTGAAGATTTGCAGGTGCTCGGTGAAAATTATTAAAGTTGCCGGGCTTGGGTACCTCACCTGTTTGTGCCCTTTTTGAGAATTTCCACTTATTCCCTCAAGTGGCTTCAGATGTTTTTGCACGTCATCTTTTAAGGCCAATTTGAAAAGGCTGAGTTCAGATCGACAAATGCCGTTGCTGTCCGTAGGCTCTGGTTGCCACACTGCGGCAAGAGAATGCCGCGGATTGTGTGGAGCAGGCCGGGCTTCTCAACTTGTCTTCAGACCTCGACCGAAAGGCGCATGAGTTTGTCTCAAAGGGAGACCCCCAAAATAGCCAAGGGTTTCCTTTTGGTTTCCCGAAAATAGCCAAACCCAAAAACAAACCGAGCCTCCCAATTTAAACACACCCATTTCTGTTGGTTGCTGAGCACTCAGCCTCAAAGCTGCTGATTCTGATTCTGATTGTGCCCAAAATTATTCGGGTCTGAACCTCCTCACTTTCGTGGAAGAGCTCCCCCATGCCGGCGCTTCCAATCAGTCGCTGAAACCCAGGACTTGCCCTCCCAACATGAAACTTAGAACAGGTCCTTGCTGAGAGGAAATCGGGTTGCCAGGCGATTCTTGCCCGTCGCAAAGCAAACCCTCACTCATGCAGGGTCTCTCAATATATATGCCATGCTTGGACCTCCAAGAACTTCATGCTGATGAGCGTCCCACGCTTCACCAAAAGTGTTCCAAAGCAACTGTGTGTGGCTGTCTTCTTGAACATTGCATGTTTGTGCTTGCTGATGGTTACCAAGAGCATCCCCTTTGAGTGACAGTCAAAGTAGTCGTGGGGATGGGAATCCCACTTTGGTGTCACAGGTCGAGGTATTTTCAAGAACTCTGTTCATGAACATTGCGCGTTGCTCAGAACAATTGGTCTTTCTACTGCCAAGGTTACCCCAAACCTCAAAAACAGGAACCAAACCACGAGTGTCACGAATGGTATTTGGCCCCTTTCCGTTGCTTCTTCCCCAGTGCGCAAAGCAATCTGCTCTGGCTTGCCAAAGGAAATCCTCCACGAACCGCCCTTGAGGCCTTCTGCTCCTTCGCACGCTACACGGACTGCACTGAGCTGCTGGAGGCCTGTTTCAGCGATCTCGCCTGACTGTGGGGCAAACCCGATGGTATCCCCGTTGCCCAGCGCTTTTTGTCTCTTTTTCTTTGGGAAGGGGTTCCCTTTAACGTCATCCAACCAACAAAAAGGATGCCCTTCTTTTCCCATGGCCACTGGGCATCTGGGGTATGAGGCAAACGAAACGGAAAAGCGGAGGTTTCCCGCAATCCATGGTCGGAACTTCCTTCGGCCCTCGGGCCCTCGAGCTCTGGACGCGAGTTGCAGCCTTTTGAAGCAGTCTGCAGACTTGGGGTAGACTAAATATGAAGCGGAATCAGAATACGATATGTTCTGCGGGGGGCAAGCACAGTCCCTGTTTGCATTGGAGTTGGCTGGGCTTCTTGTGGTCATTTGCTGGGGGAGTATTCCTCCAAAAATCCCCCAAGAAAACATCTGGGACAACCACTTTGTCTGACCCCCCCCTCCCCAACAAAAACAGAAAAACAGAAAGAGGTACCAACAAACCACCTTTTCTACCCCCTCCCCCAAAAAAAAATAAATAAATAAATAAAATAAAATGAGAGAGACAAAAACCGACAAACAACCGAAAAAGCGAACATAGAACACATGTAAGACACACACACACACAAACACCGGCTTTTTCGTCTGTTGTCACATCGGTCGGCTCCCTTGGGCCAATTCGGTTGCGGGCCGCGGGTCGGCTCCCTCCAAACGGTTTTCGCTGAAAGGACGCCGCGGCGGTGGCGGCGCAGCTCTCCGGGGTGGAGGCCGGAAGTCGCGGAAGTGAAGTCGGATGCACGTGGACTCAAAGAAATGACTGGAACAACTTGGATTGCGGTTTAATAATGGTAATACTGGTGCAATAATACTTGTATTTGGTGTGAATTATGATTGCTCACAGTTAATACTAATAATTATTGGCACGCGGAACAACTCGCATTAATACCAATTATGGGACTCAATCAATTGGCACGTGGAACAAGTTGGGGGCTCACATGGAACTGCGATGGCCTCTCGGAAAGCGACAATATTAACATCTCGCTAAAGTGGACTTGACACATCAACCTGTTAATTGCCATCCTGTAAGTTAGTGTGACACTTCGGACGTTTCATTGGCGACTTTCGTCCTGCCGTTGGGGGTTTGGCAATTTGGTGGCGGTTCGCAGCCACGCTGGACTCGAGGCCTTGCTGGAGAGGCTGAGCCAGGAGCCGGCCACGTCGCAGCTGCGAGTGGCGGGGCTCAAGGCGCTCTTCGAGGCTCGAGTTGCGATCGAGAATCCCCGGGCCGGGCTTGTTTGCATGGGGAGTGTTTGTTTGTTTTGTTTTAATGTATGGGGCCTGGCTTGTTTTTGGGGGACCCACCAAAATTGGGTGAACACCATTTTGGTGCCCCCAAAAACAAGCCGCCCCCATATACAGAAAAGCTCCATGGAAAGTTCCTGGAATCCTTGGGACCATGGCGCCCACGGTTTCCCGATTTCAGTTGCCAATTCAAGCATCACCGATTCAGAAGCTCAACTCGATCCCGGTGAAGGGAGTTTGTTGGACCGACAAAGGGTTCAGGAAGCACCCACGGAGAGACGCTTCCAGCACTCTCCATGGCTTGGTGTTCCTCGCAAATGGCTTTAGTTTTTCTTTTTTGCGGTTCCACTCAACAAGCATCGCAAGAAGGAGTTTCCATATGTCATTTATCCGCCTAAAAGTGGCAAGGGCTTCCTTTTGAATTAAACAATAGCAACCCAAAGGGGGTCGAATCCCATTTTGAGAAACTGTCTGTCATACCCCAAACATGGTGTTCCGTTTCGCTTTTCCAGATTTGTTGGTTTCCTCAAATATTTGTTGGTTTGGTTTCTCAGTTTCTAGTTGGTTTCTCCTAGGACCTTCCAACGTCCTTTGGTTAACCGCGTCCATGGCTTGGCGGTTTTTTCATCGCCAGGAGGGGCGCCTGGACCTGGACTTCTTCTCCAGGCACGCGGCCTCCGCGGCCATCAAGGCCACTCGGCAGTCGAGTCGGGTCGAGAGTCGGGTAACCACCCGGGCACCGGGCGACGTGGGAAAGACGTGGGGAAGGGGCGAAAACTTCCGTTTTTTCAGCTTCCCCCCGCAAAAGGGCCGTTTGGATCGGGCCACAGGACTCTCTTTCTTTTTTTTGGGCTAGGGGTGAGCTGACCGTAGCAAGCTCGTGGGCTATTTCAGTGGCTATTTCAGTTGCTTGAAGCTAGTTGAGACGGCTTAGCTTTTGGTCGTTGACAGTTTAGGCCTTTGGTCAAGCTTTTACTCAGGTGCACCTCTATTGGGCGGTTTGCCCGGTGGTTTGGAGATGTTGCAAGGGTTTCCCATGTATCCTCAAGAACCGGTTCGTATCCCCGAAGCACCCATCCAACCCAGCAACTAAGGATTTCCTCAGGTTACCCTGTCCGGGCCAGACAAAAAACCGGGGGATGTTTAGGACCATCTCACCACTTTGTCCGGAAAGCATGATGAACAAAGAACAGTGTTCGGAATTGGGTGCAAAGCGTCACCTGACCGACCGGTGCCATGAGTCATACAACGCACAAGTTCTTCGAAGGCAATCGTGCTCCTTCTCTTGGCTTACGAAAAGATGTTTGCACGGTCTACTAGACATAGGCATCTTGGATCATAGGTTTGGACCAAGCCTCCGAATCAAGCAAGCAAAGGGATGTTGTTTGAACAGTGGCTGAGTCACATGTTCGAACCAAAGGCTTCTCAGTTTCTGGTTAAAACACCGAGGTGAGATACACACCGCTCGGTAGGTTGTCTAAGTACTGGTTGCTTTAGCTAGGTTCATCACCCCGGTTTGGGTCTGGATTCCCAAATCAAGCCTTCGGGTAGTTTTCTTGACTGGAGGTGTCCGTTCACAGGGGAAGCTCGGCAACAACACACCATTTTACTTTCCGCCAGACCAAAAGGGAGACCACCATGTTTTTTCTTGGAGGGGGGTATGTTCAGCAGAATCTATGAACATTTGGGGAGACCATCTTCGGAAGTCCACCAGTGTATCAGAACCCCGTTTGCCTCTCAACTCCATTCGGCGGGCAACGCAAGCGGTGCAAATGGGCCAGGTCTGTGAGCAGATGGTGATGGAGGCGCGCATGTCATGGCTGAAGAGCGTGACCGGATGGCTCAGAAGGCACCCGACTTTGGACAACGGTTTTGTCTTTTCCAGACCAAAAGTCTAGGGGTACCTTCCCCCTTCTTTGCAGGGGTCCTATCGAAAGCGGCTGGTTTTTGAAAAGAACGATGGTTGACAGGAGTGGGGCATCAACCCCTAGAAAAAGGTCATCGGCCTGTTTATTTTGAAGAGCAACAGCTTTAGGATCAAGGGACTCCTGAAGTGACAAAGTATGGGGATGGCCTTTTTTTTTGGTGAGGAAGGGTTGTATCCCATGGTTTGATGTATGACTATATAGCCGCACGTGTAATCCTGTTTTCCTCTGCGCTTTTGGGGTATTGGTTTTGGGGTATTGGAAACCTAGATTCGGCGCCTTTCAAGTCCAACATTTTGCCCCAAACGTCCTGATTCCGCGGTCTGCACCAGAGTCCGCACCAGGAATACACCTTGACGTATGGATTGGCAGCAGGTGTAGCCCAAGGGCTTGTTCAGCCATATTCCTGAAATGTGAGGGGATTCATAGAGAGGATGGAGAATCCCCCGCAATAAAACAACAACTACCACGTAGGCCGGCTGAACTCGCTCGTTGAACAGTTGGATGAGAATGAAGATATGTTTTTGCCAACATTGGGAAGCCAAGCGCTTCCTTAAGCAACTGGTTTCAACAGAATGGCCATGTGCCCCTGAACGTTCTCTTTGGTTAAGGGGGAGTGGCCTCAGATTTTGGAGAATTGCACTGAGTGACCTGATCTCCCTTGGGCCCGAAAAGGCTTAGTGTACAAGTATACATCCCATTCTCCTCTTGGTCGCTGCATTCTGGATACTATAGCAAACCGTGTGTGTGTGTGTGGGTATCTCTTTCTCATGGGAGCTAGTTATTCAAACCTTCTCTGAATTCTTCAGGTTGCCTTGGCACGTGATCCGCACCAGGCTTCTCAGTACAACTCTGAGAAGGCGGGCACCTTGGGAGACTGGATGGGATGATTTTCTGGGTGGGGCTGCATCGAAGGTTTGAGCCGCGTGAGGCGAGGTATCACCCCAGGCCTCGGGGTCTCGCTCTCTTCGATCGAAGAACCAGGTTTGGGATGAGGCCAGGGAAGGGTTTGGGTTGGGCCTCCCCAATAAGCCCTGTCAGCTGGGGTAGGGGTGAATGGAAGTCATTTCATTTGCAACTGTGGGCCCCAAAAAAGTTCTTAGCCAGGACCCGTCTGAGCCGCCCATCGACACCACCCGATTGCACGAGGCTGGCGGCTTCTGCGGAGCCGACGTACCAAGATGCATTTTGATGCTTCCCATCAGTCGAGGGATGACTTTTGGACAATCGTTTTTGTTTTGGACATGGAAAGCAGTCGTTGGGGTCTGCATGTTTCTGCAAATGGCATCTAACCACATCGCGAATCTGTGCGCTCAACTTGCGGAGCGGTTGCCAGCTCTGCCCCTCCAAACAGTGACACTAGAGTAGAACATTGGCGTCACTCACTTGTGTGTGTGTGTGTGTCGTTCTAGCGTCCCAATAAAATCAACCCAAATTGGGCAAACGAGACTTCTTGGCTGTCAGCTGGACTGATAGGTCCCAACCAGATTGGAAAAACAAAGAACACATCCGTAAAGGCCCAATTTCTTCAAGCGAGTCTCCTAGTGGAGTGACGTTTTGGGAAACTTCCTTTGGTTTTGCCTGACGGACGACAGGTGGCATCTCTGCTGTCGGGCCTGTGCTCAGGCCTGTGCGCTCCTGTGAAGTTGTGTCTTTCTTTTTTTCTTTCTTTTCTGTGTGTTTCTTGTTTGTCTTTTTCTTTTATTTCTTTCTTTCTGGTGGGGTGGGTTTCCTCCAAAGTAAGCCAACCTCCCTTCCCCCCCCCTCCCAATAAAGACAAAATTAACATAAATGAAAACAACAACACCAAAAGGGGGGCAATCCGCGCGAGGTCTGGATGAATCCGTTAAGCACGCTGGATATCAGTGCCTTTTCATGGGGATGGGTGTCCTTTTCCAGTCTTGGTCTGATAGGGATTGGGTATGCCTGCCGAACCACTTCCAAAGGTCAAACTCAATGTTCAAACTTCGACCCCGCGCGCAGGCCGGCTGCGAGCCATGTGCGCCTGAGGCGGGGCCGGGTGGTCTGCAGCATTGTGAGTTAAGCCCTGGTTGATTGATTGGAGCGTGTTCAATGTAAGAGGGAGTCCGGATCACTTTCAGGGGGAAAACGCCCTACTTGGATGTTCGGTCAAGCTAGTCAATGGTTAGCCAACTCCCCAATAGCAGGGTTTAGCCCATCTGGGGGGGCTCAAACGTGTGTTATAACCGAGGCGACCAACAACTGGCTTCTAACACGCAAATGTTAATCGTCGAGATTGATTACCGACATGAGTAATTGATGGTAGTGGGTAGCCGAGACGAAGCCCTGCCACCTGAAAATAGCTATCTTGGATACCACCAAAGACGGAGCGCTGGTTAGACGACCTCCATGCCAAAGAAGCTGTCCCCAGAGTCAGGCAAGTTTTGTGAAGCTTGCGATTGAGGATAATTATCCCCTTTTGGCTCAGGGAAGAGAAGCAATAATGGTTGTTGTTGGGAAACTTTTTACATGTTTGCTTATTGTGGTTTAGTGGGAACCCCCACTGAACTGCTTACATTAAGAATTTTGCTCCCCTTCCAACGTCAACCAAGAACCGGAAGCCAAGGATTGTGAAAGTCTTTGAGCCAAAGTTTGGCGCGCGCTGCTGAGGCGATTTCAACGGCCTTGAAGCACTTTGAGTCGCGCCGGTGAAGCGGATGTCCAACTCGCTGGGCCGAAGGTGTGCTGTGAGAGGTGCTTTGGGGAAGTTCGAAGGGGCAAGCATGGGCGTGTGTCCTGTTTTGGGGGCCTCGTTTTGGTTTTGACGGGCAGCCAAAGTGAGTTTCGCTGTTCCTTCTGAATTTTTTAGACAAATCCATGCCGGTTGGGCTGAATGGTCGGCGATGTGGGCAATAAATCAACCATGCCGAGTGTACAGCACAGGCTGGGTGCGGCCCAGTGTGAGCGTGCGAGCAAAATGGGCGGCTGTTATCAGGCCAGTTGGCAGAGGGTGTTCAAAGGAACACCGACCACTCAGCTTCCCTCTAGTTGGTGGCTTGGTTGGTGGTTGGAGGTTAGGCCCTGCGGAACCAGAATGTCAACCTCCCAAACCAATCCAGACCAGCAAGGGGGAAGCCGAGCTCCCCAAACCAACACCCCGGCTCTGAATAGTGAACTTCACCAACCACAAGTGGACCCCATTTTTGCTTTGGCCGGCTGAAGTTTCCTCGGACTGATTCACTCTGAGGGCGCCATGGGATGGATCTCGCTCATGCTTCCGCTCTTTCAATGAATCGTAAGATCAGAGAAACCAACATCTATCATTGAAACCTAAAAGTTCAATGTGCATGTTCATGGACGTGTTCAAAATGTCCCAACATCTATCTTGCGCAACATCTATTTTGAGGGACATGCAAATATGGACGGCAGTAAAGGCAAATGCTGGCTACGCGCAGGGATTGAACCGCGACTCTGGACGGACGCTTCCCTCTGGGCTCAAGGCCGTTTTCTGCTGGCAGATCGTAATGGAGGCGGGCGGTTGGCTTATGCTTTAGGTGGGACAGCTTACCGCAAGTGAACAGAGGGGGGGGTCCCTGAAAAGAAAATCAAATCCACGCCCCCCACTACCTCACTACCCTCCCACAGCTGCGGTTTGTGAGCGGCAGGAATGGAAATTCTGCAATTCCAAACAGCATCCCTCGAATGGACATGTTTCATGCGATTCCATCTGCGGAGTTTATGCCCAAGATTTCCTCAGCTACAAGGCGTCAGTGGAGAGTCTTGGATTGCTCCTACCACACCCTTTGCAGTGTTGGTCAATTTCGCTTTTCCCAAGGCGGGTGTGTATGGGTGGGGGTGGTGTGATTCGGATGTCCCTGGAAGGCGAAAGAGTTATGTTTTCCCTTGATATTGCTTGGAAGCAATCTCTGCGAATTTCTGCAGTTCCTGATGAGTTTCCTCCCCCCTCAACGGTCTGCTTCTCTTCTTTGCAGGTGGAGTGAGCAACCAGCGTTTTGTGTCAGATACCGTGCTGGGTTTTGGTGTTGAGTTAAGTGTTTACTCTATGGTGTCCTCCTTCATAGCTGACAATCAAGTCACTCATTGCGACAATTTGTGGGTGTAGACTTGGAAAGCCACCCTTGTAGATGGGTTCGGGTCCTACCTTTGTAGCGGTAACTTTTTCATTCTTTCCATGGGAAGACAACCACCAAACAAGCAGGGACTAGGGCTGGTGTTTGACAGAAGGATGGTGAAGGATGGTTGGTCACGAGGAAGCAACCGCATCAAACAGATCCCTAAGCATTGTACGGTTCATTCCCTAGATGCAAGTACATCGAGAACACACAAAACATGTCAAGTTACAGGGTGTTGCTTGTTTTCTTTGGATATGTCCTGGGAATTCCGGGTTGAACTTTCCAACCTTCCGCCGGTGGGTGAGCCCCCCGTTGGAAGGTGGATGGAAAGAGCCACGAGGTCCGATCCGAGATCGTAGGGCTCTGGATCCTTCCGGGAGTTGTTTTTCTTGTGGAAAATGGCCATGGCTCAAAAAAACACGTGGTACCCGTTGTTAGGTCCCTTGGATGGAAACACAGACCAAAGCCTGCGTAACCCCCAGCTCTGTAATGTTGAGCCACACCCAAATAGGGTACTTTGGTCCCAGGGAACTCGGAAGGAAGCACAGGAAGGATTGCATCCTTCTGTCTTCTCCAAAATCTTCAGGGTAGCTATGATGGATCAACACATCAGGGAAGATATGCTTTCATTGGAAGTGGCCAGCTGCCGGACGTTTCAAGCCAGCTTCCGATCAGGTACAGTTTGGGTGGGTGGGGGTTAATGGACCTATACGAGTTTGTCTCCAGAGAATTGGGGGCTTTCTCCCAATCCATTCGCTCCATGCGCCGAATCAGTCAGTGACTTTGGGTGCCTGACTGCATCATCGGGAGGGCGCTCTTCAAGGGACCCGGTGGGAGGGTACTTAGACATCCTATCCCAAGATTCTCCGCTTAGCCTTTGTCAAGGCGCCATGAGGCTAAGCGGGGTTGTTTCCTTCTGGTAGGCCTGTGGGATGGCTTTGGGGCAAGTAGGTGAAGGGTTTGTTGGCTTTTTGAGGGGAGAGTTTGTAATCCCAACGATCAAGCCGTAGGACCTCCAGACAATTCACTCGTTTGGCTCAAGGCGGTCATTTGTGATTTTATCACAGCCATCCGACTCCCTGGGTTTTAGGTTTTGGGGTTTGGTGGTCATTCCACTAAACCACTAAAGTTGTTGTTGTTTTTTTGCAGAGGCTCTGGGAACATCTGTGGAACATTGTTGGTTCTTGGTTGCCGCTTCCTGTACCAAGGGAACCCTCCGTTCTAAACACTCTAAACACTCATTGACCATGGATGGGAATGAACCACAAAGGCTAATTAGTGGGGGACCCTATTAAGGGCTTGTTTTTGGCTCCCTCCGCCCCCTCTCCCTCCCCCCCGACCCCCATGATTCCATGGGAATGCCACCCTCACTAGTATCTTAGACTAGATCCATTTCCACTAGTAAAATCAACGTGTCCTTTGTTTCACAGTGGGCATTGTGCTGACTGTTTCTGGGGTTTTACCAAAGTCAGCACCTGGGATTGCCTCGGATCAACCTGCCACTTGGGTGACATTGATGATGGTAACATAATGAATAATGAGGCCAGATCTATTGTCAATTTCAGCGCGGGCAGTCTCATAGGAATCGGTCCCCTAAAATGGTGGCAATCGGCGCCGTTTCCCGTTGAATACCACCCAAAGAGGGTGCGGCTCTCTGGCCATCAGGAAAGCAATGGTCATATTCACCCTTTGTTTCACCTCAGGAGTTTCATCTGAATTGGGTTTTGCTTGGTTGCCATGGCTTTGAGAATTTGGGCAAAAACGCATCCAGACACCGAATTCGCTTCCCGCGAGCTTTGGGCACTGGCCCCGATCGATCCAGGACGAGAGGGGCTGGCGTGTCTCGGAGGAGCCGAAAGCCCTGGGTGTGCTCCTCCCTTTCGGAGAATTCGCCCCTTTGGGTTTCCCTTCGCAAAAAGTCAATCACTTTTGGGTTTACCTTGGCAAAAAAGTGGGCTTCCCTTGGATGGTGGTGGGTGGGTTTCCCTTTCCAACTTTTCATGTTTATTTATCTTCCTGGAAATTCCAACGTGTACTTATTTCTTGTAGTTCTTGAACTTGACCTAGAATTACCTACTTTTTCAGAAAACGCCTGAATTGATGAGTTTCTGCACTTTGCGGGATTCAGTGCACTTGGGCAGCCGTTTGGGCCCATGCTGGAGCGTGGGGTGCTTTTCAGGCGGGATCTGCATCAACATCAAATCATCAGCGGCGGATGCAGTCGTAGATCTGGTTCACATTCCTGAGTCATTGAGATGCAGGGGCGAAATCTGCACTGCACAGGCTGATGGCAGCTGCATGACTTGGAGCCTCTGGGGTGTGAGGCCGGCTTTCACACAGCTGTCGCATGTGTCAAGTTCAACAAATGCACACGTTGGGATTTCCAGTATAGCGTGGCCGCAATGAGTCGCATATATTTTACCCATGAATCCAACCCTCTTGTTTGGTTTGTTCAGCGGCAATCCTTTATCCTAGGCCACCCCCCAAACCAGGAAAATTGGGTGGGCTCGGTTTAATGTGCAGGGTTCTCCGCTTGTTGAAAAGGTGGTAATGAGGCCCCACATCGTCGAGGAGCATACCCGCTCAAAACGGGAGTTTTGTGGGTATACACCCTTGACATGGCCCCCCTCTCTTCTGCGGTTCTAAACCTCAAGCGCCTCTAAGGTTGCTCTCTCTTGATTGAAAACCTGCGCCATCAAAGGGTCACGACTGTTTTGGCAGGCACTGCTTTGGGCCCTCGATTTATCCCCACCCCTGGTGCTTCCAAGCTCCAAAGGAGAACAAAAATTGAATTTCTCGATTTGTTTTTTTCAGTTGGGGTGCTGTGGTGCTGGCAAACCATGGTTTAGAACTAGGGATCCCTGGATTCTCGGCCAGGCAGCAAGCAGTGGCTGGCGAGATCTGGAGGCCTGCCAGATTCAGCCGGGTTGCTGTGTGCGCTTCGCATGCAAGCATATTAAGAATTCGCTTCAACGAGGCAGTTTTGGGCTCATCCTTAGGCTTAGCGCCCCAAGCATGGCTGTAGTGGAACCAACTGCCCTGGCAAAAGCATGGGAAGAAGTGCCCGAGCTACGCCGTGCTGTTCAAAAGCATCAACTGGCAGGAGCCTCATTGTTGCAAGTCGCATGACAAAGTGTTGCAACATTGGTGGCCGAGGTGTCCACTACAAGTGTCCGTGTGAACAGGGACACTGTTGCCGCTAACTACCTGCTGTTGGTCCCCGCGTACAAGCATCTTGGGCACCGGGTTTCCATAGAGACTCTGGAGGCCCATGTGCGCAACATGTACGCGTACTGCAATGTGGCGATCACAGGTGCCTTTCTCGAAAGTTTTACAGTGTCGAGGTTTAAGGTGAAAGCTCCACTCAGCCTTTGCACACATGCGTGCGATAGCCTGTGCCGCTTCATTTGTGTATTGAGCGCACGCGGGTTTTCCAGCATCAGCCAATCAATATGCATGCATGCATTTTGTTTCCCTGGAATTGTCAAAGTCCTGGGGTGGCTTATGAACCGCGTACGTATCCTCAGGACAAGCCACGCGAATGCAAGCGTGGACAATCAGACGGGCAATGACGGAGTTCAACACCATCAGCCGGCGACCCCACTACCCACGTGAGTGGCAGCTGCGAGACAT